CATTGAACGCCGCGACCGCTACAATCGCAGCTAAACAGGATAATTTGGAAGCCACAACCGCTACAATCGCAGGTAAACAGAATAAATTGAAAGCCATAGTCGCCACAATCGCGGGAAGGCAGGAGGAACAAGGCAGAATGTTACAGGAGCTTGCCCTGAATATCCGCGCTCTCGTTGGCAGCCATGATGGTGCCTCTGCTAACCGTTGGATAGCGGGGGGGCGCACCTGTGTAGACAATGATGTCTCGATTGCTTTAGTTTTATTTAATCATAACGTTCGTTTTGTTGCCTATCCGCCATACAGACTAGTCTTGTAGGCCGCATACTACCTCTAGTATTTAGTTTTGTTTTACCTTCCGTTTCCCTATCACTACTCTTCTCCTCACCACTCGTTCTATCGTTAGGGCCCCCTCATATCTCCTATCCACACACTTCCGAACTCATTCATACACTCCCTTGCCTCATTTCCTTCCGAGCCTTCTTCCCCCGATACCACCGCAGCTTCTTTTTCGCGATGGCAGCTGACCAATATGCTCCACTGTCTCGGCGTCAATGGGGTTCTGGTTACTGCACGTTGCCTAAGGGGGATAGACTCCGAAACGATTTCCCTTTCATGGTGACCATGAGGTGGGGGGGGGGGCGCAGGACGCGTAAGGCGAGAGGGATCAGGAATTGGGATGCTGGTTATCCACCTAGTATATAGGGCTGTGAGGGAGGTTAGGAAACAACATGGCATTGGGGCGGGTACCTTAGTTAAATAAAATCAGACCTTTGTCTCTAGCCTGTAGCCCGTCTTGCATGAGATTTGACACGTTCTCCACGTCCAACCCCTGCCATCTGGGTTAATTACTAAAGGTTGATGTAAAGGGGTAGTGACATACTTGACCCGGCACCGGGGGATGGCGAGGATCAGCTCGGTAAGGTGTTGTGTCCCGCGAGCATGGCTCCCGAGCTGGAATTGCTGGCCATTGCCCTGTTGAAAGCCTGCGGGACACGCTCGCCCCCCCAGCCCTGTCCGTTCATTCATTCTCTCATTGATTCGTTCGTTCCACCGTTCAACCATTCGCCGTTAGCTGGTTCGATTGCGTTCACGGCTGCGCAGCGGTGCGATCGGTCATGGGGAGGTGTGCGGGACGGCGGGAAGGTGCGGGGGGGTATTGGAGCTGTGTGCCTCCCTGGAGGGGCAGCGGGAGGCCGGAAGGAAGGAAGGAAGGAAGGGGTAAGACCAGAAGGGAGGACGGAAGGATACAGGGAAGGCCGGAGAGCCTGAAGACACTGGGTGTTTGTTAGTTTATTAATTTGCTATTTGTGCTTAGGGCCTCTCTTCCGCCGAGTGATAGCCGGTGATAGCCGGCGCCTAAAATGCCCCACACGTACACCTCTCCTTCCTTTGTAGGGCCAAGAGTGTGATCAGTATTACTGAGCAATGTTCTTGAGCATAATATTAGGGCTGGGGCATGCTGGACACTGGGCGGCGGTTGACTACATCTAAAAAGACCCCTCACTGTAGGCTAGATGTCTCCGTCCTGGAAACAGCGACCCCGAGCGGGAGGACCCCGGAGATAGGCTACATGTGCAATCCGAATGGCAGGCCATAGCATGTGTTCAATAATAGCGTCAGACCATTGACTCAGGCCTATTCATGGCTATGTAAGGACCGGCGGTCCAGTCCAGCCCCAACTACGCCTGCTATACAGTATAATGCCAAATCAATAATGCTAAACCACTACAATGAGCCCCTAGTCTTGTATGCTACCTAAACGGTACAATAGGTTTAACGAGGGAAATAGGAAAGGCATGCACACTCTGGTATGGGGAAGGTTTGTTGTGCCCCTATCGTTGTCTGAGTCCCAGATCAAGAGGCAACATTATTAATTACTACTAGGTCGCATATTCGTAGATGTACAAATCCTAGCGGCCCCTGTTAATCGCCTCCCTCGTCCTCTTACGCCGCCTCCTCATCACCATTAGTATCTGCATCACTGGCACGTGTACCGGCACCCGAATAACCGCAATTAGTAGGCTCCGTGGGAACTCCAGCGAGGAGGGAGAATTGCCCACCGGCAGCAGCAAAGGTCATTCTGACACCTCTGGTGGCCGTGTTTTCAATCCTTGTAGGGGTCATGATCTCGTCATCAGCGTCGGGGCCGAGGCCGGTTTGATAACTGCCACTGAAGCCCCAAGAGGATGCTTGTCTCTCCATCGAGATGGCAATATTGTGGTCCGTGCCACAGCCAATGGTGGAGAACCTGATGCCAGGGACAGCATGTGGGGTCCTGAGGTAGCGGGGGTTGCCCTTCGCGTCACAGACGCAATCATCCACTGAAAGCGCTACAGGGTCTATACCGAGCTGTCCACTGTCAAGACGGCCCCAGACCAGGAGCTCACCGTTCTCAGTCAGGGCGGTTGAGTGATGTTCTCCGGCAGATATCTGAACGATTATGTACCCTGCAAGAGACTTGACGACGGTAGGAACAGGAATCACAGTACTATTATATCTTCCTCGGTGCACTGAGGCTCGCATATCCCACATTGCCCATATTGATTGAGCCCCCATGCCCAGACCCTGCCGTCCCAGGTAATTGCGAAAGAACGATACGAGCCGGTCGCGACGTACTTGACCTGGCGCCGGGGAAGGGACACCTGGCGAGGGTTCAGCCCGGTGAGGCGATGTCTCTCGGAAATGCGCCTCCCGAGCTGGTATTGCTGACCGTTGCCCCACCCGTACACGTCTCCTTCCTTCGTAAGGCCAAGGACGTGATCAGTGCCGATACTGACCCGAACGATGTTCCTGGGCGTAGGTAGCAGGACTGGAACATCCTGTACACTAGTCCTCTCATTGAATCCGAGAATGCCGTCGGCGCACTAAACAATAAATTAACCTTACTAACCCTGAATGGAGAATTAATCACATTCCCTAAATGTTCCCCATCCGTAAACCCTGCCGGTGTCGGTAACAGCGATCGAGATACTGTCACCGGCAGCAATGCTCGTAATCACAGTCCCCTCCGGAAACCCTGTAATCAGCATTGGCGTGCTCTCCAATGGATTCAAGGGCACTTCTTCGTCACTGTCGCTGTCGCCATCATCACCGGAATGGACAACCCTGGTCAGAGGTGTATGTGTAGTCGCTCTCCCAAGAGCGTACTGATCATCATTGACACCCCACGAGTATACCCTCCCCTCGTATGATAGGGCTAAGCCATGCATACCACCAACTGCAATGGCGACTATTCCCACCTTATCGGGGAGGAGATGAGCCTTCAATCTGGGACGCTTGACAACCTTTGCGTTAACCTCTGGCCCAAGACCCAGCTCAGCATTGTCACCAGTACCAAATGCATATGTGTTCAATTTCTGGGTCGGGAGAGGGCTGATTATGGCCGAGAAGGGTTCGATGGTACCGGCCCTGCGGGCCCTCGCCAATCTACCCCGAACGGCGTGTGGTGTTCGGTTGAGAATATCCGCAAGGGTGCTTGTGTCTGTCCCTCGCGCGTATTCCTCACACAGTCGCGCATCCTCAGCAACTGTCCACCTACGCCGCCTTGTCGCGATGGGTGTAATGGCCCCTGCCCTTCGTAACTTTGCCAATCTGATCTGATCTGAATAGCACGTGGTGTCCGGTTGAGGGTAGCTGCGATCTGGGGGATGCCTGCTCGCAGTGCAAACCCCATGCAGTCGCCGGTCATCACTGTCTGTCCATCTACGCCGCGGTAGTACCCCCATGCCATGCCCCACCCCCCCCCCCCCCGTTCCGACCACAGG